GTACTGACTGCAATGGATTGGGAACAGATTTATCGTGGTAAAAATAGGCAATTATAAAATGTAGGACTTTGCTTAGTTATCAGGTTAATGATCCTCAACAGATCATACTGATTGCAAAGATTATACTTTAAGTAGGGAAACTCTAGTTCCAAATGTATATGCAAATGAAATAGTTCTTTCCACAATAATTCAGTAGAATCCTTCAGACTATACAGTATGATGCTTCAGATAACTATATAAAGGAATTAACTAGGATGAAGGAAAATGGTTAAATGTAATACTTGCCATCATTGCTATTGTTGTTAAACTTTCTTGTATTTTTCCTCTTTCTGAAATTTAGAATTATGTCCAGCTTTGGCATTTGGGACAGATCAAATCCTATTCATTTCTAGCATCACAATAGCCACTGAAAACTGTTTTCGTCCTGATATAAGTGAACACTGGGAATCAAGCCTGTGACAGTTGGAAACTTGCATTGCATGAAGTCATGATGCCACTGGGAAGATGACCTTTGGGGCATCCTAATAATTACTCTAAACTTTGCAAATATTCCTGCAAGAAATTAGATTTTAGAGTAATTATTTCTGATCCATGTTAACATTTGAGTTAGTATATTTTTAGGTTCTATATCAGCTTAGTTATGTTTAGACCAGGCATATTGACCTCAACAGAAACAATTCTATTGATGGTAAATGATATCTAAAGGGGACGCGGTGGCGCAGCGGCTTAATGACGCTGAAAGTTGCTGGCCAGAAATGGTCGACGCTTCAGCGGTTCAAGTCCAGCCTTTGCGTTAACAGGGTGATCTCCTGTTTCCTCCCCAGTCTCTGTCAACCCAACAGTTCGAAAACTCACATGAGTAGATAAATGGAGACTCTCACTCCGGTGGTTGGAAAAATGCTGGCGGCGCCTTGCAAAAGGAGTCGGGAGCAGTTGCTGGGTAGCACAACCGCGCTCGCCCAAAAATGGCATGAAGCAACGGAAACCCCACCTCCTACGCACGCCAGCTGGGCTCTGCTCTAGGAAGGAGGCACTGGCAAACCACTTCCGAAACACCTTACCTTGAAAACTGCAAAGCCCTCATCCAAAGAAGTCACTGCCGGGTCGGTAACGACTGAGTGCAGATAAAAAAAAAAAAAAATGATTATCTGTCTATCTATCTGTCTGTCTGTCTGTCTGTCTGTCTGTCTGTCTGTCTC